GTCGAAGTGTTTGTCCAGGTCGCCATCGTTGATTACCTTTTCACAGGTACAGTAACTTCCTTCTTTGTCAAAGTCATCGATTGGATCTGTACTGGGACTTTTTGCTGTGGCCCAATATTTTTATATTTTTAAAATAAACTCAAAGTCCTTTTTTTGAGAGTTTTACAAAATTGCTTAATGCAATCTTCACCTGTAATTTTATAAAATTTAAATTATTTCAAATGTATTAACTTAATTTTTTTAATATACCTTGATAAGGCCATAACTCATTCAGAGTTGGATCATATTTGTGTGCAATGTAGAAGGATACTGCACACGCTGAATGTTTTTGCACCTTTGTTGTTGCCGAAGTAGCCGGATTATTTAAGCAGGTCTCATAGTTTTCAAGGACCGCCTCTATTTCTCCATATATAGTTATATGGTGATAGGAGGTGATAGCTTCTTATGATATCCTTTGAAAGAAGTGGTCGTATTCGGTTCAGGACAGTACGAAGCCAGTTTTCCACATTCAAGCTCGTTGTGGGTAGTGTTCGTTGTTGTATAAAACTGCAGGCAGTTATCACAAAAATATTTTCCTGCGTGCGATTTTGAATGCTGTGAGCCGCATAATCTTTTGATGCACGTAATACAGGCATAGTGCATATTTTGACGGTTATTAATTCCTAATATATTTACGTGGTTTGGTAGAATCTCTTGAGTTTTAACTGTGGGTCCCACAATTTTTTTACCGTCATTATCAATTTCATACACATTGATGCTAAAATCTTTATTTTTTTCTCGAACTGACTTATTCCTTTTTTGGTAATTGGAAACTCAATTCCTGAAAAATCCAGTCTCATTCCTTCATAAACAATGACTTCTGCATTGATATTTATGTGGTAGTTTGCGGGTTTCGTTAATTTCTCCCGTGAAATTTAATTCTACAGTAATATTTTCAACTTGATAAACCGATCTACACGCCGTTCCAAGGTGTTTCCTGATTTCAACGGTTTCTCCGTCATCTATTTGTTTCATATAAGTCCCGTACTCTATAATCTCTATATTCTGACATGCAATCCTCAATTATTTTAAGTAAATTTGATTGACAAAATTGATAAAAATCATTTAAGTCAATTTCATTTTCGTTTGGATATTTAATTCTGTATGTTTTTACAGGAAACTTAGAGTTACCCACAATTTGTGAAATATTTTTATAATTTACATCTTCTCGGACCGAAGCATTTTTATGGTAATCGGTTAGCATATGCTGACGTTACCTTGACTCAAGATATTGGATACCACAAGTATGGCATAAAATTTCTCTTTTTTGCTCTTGTGTATTTCCCGAAATCTTAAGCTTTTTTGTAGGACTATTTGGTTCCTTACCCTCATCCATTCTTATCCGCTTGAGGGAATTTGCTGATGTTGAGGGAATATCGTTTTGAACAATAGCTGGTTCCTGTTATTTTCCTTTATCCTTCTTGTACATTTAATTGCTGAATGCATTTTGGGGTCGTTCACAATTCTTATAGTGCTCTTCAAATTTACAGTTGGGAACTATACGGTAGCACAAGTCACATCTTATTTTAGAACTTGCCATTAAAACCTTGAAGGCATTCCGAGGTTTGGAACACTTGGCATAGTGATCACTAAACTCACACATCTTCACAACACACACACACACAACTTCACAACGCACACAAATCACATGCAATTGTAGACTCTATTTTTAATTTAAGGGATGTAGTTTTTATACCCGTTACTCGTAGAGTAAAAGGGTATACTAGATTCGTTGAAAAGTATGTAACAGATAGAAGGAAGCTTTTGCGACCCTATAAAGTATATATATTCTTGATCAGGATCAATAGCGAAGTCGATTGAGCCATGTCCGTCTGTCCGTCCGTCCGTATGAACGCTGAGATCTCAGGAACTATAGCAGATACAAAGCTGAGATTAAGCATGAAGATTCTTGAGGTCCCGGGACAGCGCAAGTTTATTACAGCATCCTGCCACGCCCACTCTAACGCCCACAAATCGCAAAAAACTGAAATTGCTGAAATCTCAGGAACTATTGCAGATAGAAAGTTGAAATTCAGAAAGTATAATCTTTAGATGACAGCGCATCTTATAGTGGTACTACTATCCGGCCACACCCACCCATACGCCCACAAGGCTCAAAAGACGGTTTTCGGATTTTCTAGAAAAGCTGATATCTCGGTAACTATAAGAGACAGAAAGTTCGGATTAAGCATGTATGTTTCTATGATGCTCCCAATGCGAATTGTTTTTTTCCGATCACGCCACGCCCACTCTAACGCCCACAAAACCCGAAAAACCAAAAATGCAAAAATCTCGAAAACCATAAAAGCTACACAATTTTGCTTAGGAACACGTATTTAAGAGATGCCTCTGCAACTTGCCACGAAGTTGCATCCGGCCACGCCCACTCTAACGCCCACAAACCGCGGAAAACTGTGGAGTCTATAATATTATTATGAATGCCTTCGTTTGACCTTGTGTAACTTATTTCTGTTAATATCTATCGATTTACAAAAGATTTTTCAAATCGGAACATTATTTCGCTATTTATGAAGAAATTAAGGTTATAAGGCTCCACATGGGCAGTGACGTCACTATAAGCATACTCAACATACTTCCTCTGACAATAGGTGGCCCCTTGTGAATTTCCACTACCAAAATTAATATTTTAAAATTGTGTAAAACAGTAACGGGTATCTTATAGTCGCGGCACTCGACTATAGCGTTTCCTCTTGTTAAGTTTTTATAATATTAATTATTATTATTTGTATTTGTATATATATATATATATATATAATTTGTAAAAATTGTTTATAATTTTTAAAAACCGACGAAAATGACGATGATAATCACAATAAAGCACCGAGACTTTTAATGTAGTTCTGAGGCTTTTGAGTAACTGATTCTGAGCAATTTGAGTGGTGTCATTGATATAGTCTCCAGACTATGTTCACCTAATGTTACCAATAGGGAGTGCATACAGGTATGTTTTACTCCTAGAACCAATCGTTTTGGTTTTAAGTATACATAGGAGCCCCGGACGCCAGTCATATGGTATTGAAGGATAAGGAAGACAAGGATGGCGAACAAATTAACGGCTGATAATAATGAGGCCTGAGTGTTCATTGAAAGTAAATATCGGTGTGTGCGAAAGACTGGTCAGGAAAATGACAAGTGTAATAAATATTCCATTTAATGGTTTCTACGGACAGCGGGATAGTTCGTTCACAATCTCCGTGTAAGAAAGATTTCCCCTTTCTATGTTCACTTGATAAGAACGATGCCCAATGGTTCCACGAATGCAAATACAGGTGTGTGGGAAATAACGGTCAGAACACCGTCAATTGCAATAAATATTTATTTTAAGACTTAAAAGTAATCGGAAACGGTCATGCACAATCGTTATGAAATAAACATTTTACCTTTATATATACATTTACTTGTAACCACGTTATCATTACTTGCATTCGATCGTGAACCAATTTAAAATTTCTAAAGCCTTAAGCTGAAAGTAGTGGAGTGCCGCGACTATAAGATACCCGTTACTGTTTTGCACAATTTAAAAATATTCGTTTTGTTAGTGGATATTAAAAAGGCGCCACCTATTGTCAGAGAAAGTATGTTGAGTAACTGATAATGACGTCACAAACCCGGTGAGGCCTTATAACCTAAATTTCTTCATAAATAGCGAAATAGTAAATCGATTGATATTGACGGAAATAAGTTATATAAGGTCAAACTAAACCTTTTACTCTACTAGTAAAGGGTATAAATATATTATCCGTACGAGATTAAGTAAAAACATACAATTCAATTCATACAACTTCAACAGGCATTAATTTGAAGAGGTTTAATTATACCAGTTACTCGTAGAGTAAAAGGGTATACTAGATTCGTTGAAAAGTATGTAACAGGTTGAAGGAAGCGTTTCCGACCCTATTGAGCCATGTCCGTCTGTCCGTCCGTCGGTATCAACGCTGAGATCTCAGGAACTATAAGAGATAAAGAGTTAAGACTAAGCAGTCAGATTTTTGAGGTCCCTACGCAGCGCATGTTTATTTTATCACGAAAAACTAAAATCGCTGAAATATCAGTAACAATTATATCTAGAAAGTTGAAATTCAGTATGTATAATCATGAGATGCTAGCGCATCTTATGGTGGTACCAAAATCTGGCCACAGCCACTCTTACGCCCACCAACCTCGAAAGACGGTTTTCGCATTTTTTAGAAATCCTGATATCTCAGTAAGTATAAGAGATAGAAAGTTTCGATGAAGCATGTAGGTTTTTATGATGCTCCAAATGCGAATTGATTTTTCCCATCTATCCACGACTACCCTAACGCCCAAAAAACCCGAAAAACCAAAAATGCAAAAATCTTGGAAACTATTAATGATAGAAAGTTAGACTTAGGAATACGTATTTTAAAGATGGCACTGCAACTCGACACTAGTTTTCATCTGAATATGCATTTTAACGCCCAGAAAAAGCGAAAAACTAAGACGTCCATAATAGTATAGTGGATGTCTTCGTTTGACCTTGTTTAACATATTTTTGTCAATATCTATCAATTTACAGAAGATTTTGCAAATCGGAACATCATTTCGCTATTTATGAAGATGTGTAGGTTATAAGGCCTCACATGGGCAGTGGCGTTACTATCAGTTACTTAACCTTCTTTCTTGGACAATAGGAGGCAAAACAGTAACGGGTATCTTATAGTCACCGCACAGAATGTTTTTTTTCCATTTGGTGGGGAGGTAAAAATGGCTTTTACGAGTATCAACCCATAACTATCTGATTAGGTATACCTTAAAAATGAATATATTAAATCAATTTAGGGCCATAAATAAATGCAACCGCATGTACTAATGGGTACATAAGTTGAGTTGTGCGCTTTCGTTAATAATTTGAATGTGTTTTGTTTTAATGTTTTACTATTTACATGCTGAATAACCTATCTGAATACTGAATTTAAAAGTGCAACCAAAAAGTAAGTAACAGTATTAAGCAGTTCAATAATTTTTCTTTGTCCCATATCGTTTCACTGGTTTTTATAATTGTGATTATAATATTTTAACAGAAGGAAGGATATTTTTATATCCAAGTACATATTCAAACCATCTCTAAATTAAAGCATCTCTCTCTAAGGCTGTCATTAGATATAGCATCCAACTCAGTCTTAATGTTCTAGTAACGTATTCAAATAGTTTAAATCCCTTCGCGAATACGATTCCAAAATAAAAGCTTAAGTCATTTTCAACCTTGTAATGGTTAATTTTTTTTTTTTATTGAATAGCATTGTATACGAACTAGAGAAAACCTGACTTTTAGGGTAGCCTAATTAGTAAAAAATTATTGCTAATAAACGAGGCTTTTTTCTTTCTTTAAATTTCAAACATTATTATTACGTAGAGATTAATTGAGTTTTCTGTCATTAGATTTACTGCTTTCAACATAATGTACTCGTATATAGAGCCTATAATATATTAAATAATTAAAACTATATTAATGAATTGAATTTTGTTTCTTGGCCTTAGGGCGAAGCTTTTGTGTTCCTTTATGTATGTGTTACACATTATGTAAAGATGTGTGACTCCAATATTTTCTTGAAAATATTAATTTTTTAGTGTCTTTAATCTTTTATTATATTGTAATGTATTATATTGAAATTATTTTATTTATAGCGAATGTAATAATGAACACATTTAATATTTCTGTCAAAATCTAGAGCAACTGGCATGGTGGCAGCTCTGGGAGACGAAAACTATCATCATACTACTGGCTGCTATCTTTGGATTACTCTTGACCGTGATTATCATATGTTGTATAATTATATTAATTTGCCGTCGACGTCGGCGTCAGGATAAATGTGAGTACATATGTGTGAATAAAATTAAAAAAGGTTTTTAAAAAAGGTTATTTAAAGCAATGAACTTGGTTTTAATAATTATATACTATAGCAAAAGCGAACAACAAAAAAAATGACAATAGCAGTATATGTATGATTTTACCTTAAATTTGTTTATTGAATATTCATTTTATATTACATTCATAATAATGAATGAGCAAAGCTTCTTTCAAATGCTCTTGCATGAAACTTATAATTGTTTACTAAACCGTTTTAAAACGCATATGACTGTGACTGCCACTGTATCAAGTAAAATAATAGACGCAAAACTAAAAATCTGCTATTGTGCTCCGCAAATATTTTTTGTATATTTTACTGCAAAGAAAAGTTGATAATGAACGCTATATATTAAAAATTGTACAAAATTGTCATTGACTGTTTTTGTTTTTAAAATATAATTAATACCATAACCTTTTAATTTAAAAAGTCGCCAGGTTTTAATATCAGTAATACGCTTGCAAAGCTTTTATATTTTTCTAAATGAACAATGTTTTTTATTTTTCTTATAACATGTATCACAAATGTGCTTGACTTCTCAATGTATCTGTTGCATATGTACGCTTGCTTCTCAATTGTCCGGAGGGACAACTTTGCACGCTAATAAATCGCATGAAACGGTTGCAATGCTGTTCTTCAAAAACTACTCCACATACGTTCCACTATACACAACAATAACGCACAGATCTCACCGATGTTTCAATTAGTGCTACCCAAAGGTAAGTCAAAACTAAAGATTTAGTAGTTATATGACAAAAAATATATTTTATATGTACATTCTGGTATTTTTGTAAATTCAACGCGTAAAGCTATTTTGCAAAAGAGTAAAATCAGATAGTAAAATCACGTTTTTAGATACTGTATTCATTAAATATACAAGTGTCCATAAAATACCTAATTTTATTCATTTTAAGAGGTAGATTTAATTTGTAAAACAAATTAAGTACGTGGCCATATGAAATCTTATTTCAAATAAGTTGTTTGTATATTTAAACTCAAAAACTGTTTATATTTGTTAAATAATTTTGAACGTGCCCTTATGTTTTTTTTTCTTTTGCATCACGTTTTTATTTTCGCATTATTACCGACAACCATGCACATTAATACGCGTCGTAACCACACACTACTCAGCGTACTATCGAATCAGTCAGAAATAAAAACAGCAGTTGGGAGTGTATCAAAACCGGATAAGTATGCAGTCCTCCTTACAAAGAAACCTTCCACCCGCTTTAATGGTAACGAATCAAAATTGCCACCACGCTGGCCAATTCGTCCTGGGGTAATGGTTCACGTAAGCAGTAACACAAAAGAAAATCTTACTGTAAATAGAATGACATTAAAGCCGAATATTCGCTTTAAAGAAACTAATAAGATTTCGGCCGAATTCAGCGAAGTCTTAAGAGAAAGTCAGTCCAATGATAGTACCATCCTAACCAATGTGTCAGTGGACTCAGATAAAAACGAACAATTATCTGTTATAACACCTCGATTGGATATTAAAACGAAAGTAAAAAAAAAAGAATTGCCTTTAGATAATTTATCCGCCAAAACGGCAGGTGCTGGTCACAAAAAATTGAATTATATTTTAGGTATGATTTTTAAAAAGACATCGGATGATTGCTCTCGCAAAAGTCAGCGGAGTCATATTGGTCTATTACAGACATATTGGCGTCGGTTGGATCATACTAATAGCACATCTCAATTCGGAACTCAGCATCGTCTTAAAGGAATACGTTGCAGCCGCAGTGGTAGAGTATTTCATACACATTTAGACGCACATTAAGTTAATTTTAACATTATTATTTTATTTATTAATAATTATTAATTATATAGTAACCTACAAAAAAGCCAACGAGACTACTCATGGGAAGTCAAGCACAGCAGCAGATGCAGAATCACCATTGACAAAAAAATTGCAAAAAGTACAAGGCATTGCCTGCAGTGTCGACCCATCTGACACGGCCGAAATCTCTTTTGAAGCTCATCAAAATCGATGCCCTATTCTTCACCTAAGCCCTACATCCCCTGCATTACCATTAAGGAGTTGCCAAAATTTAATATTGAGCTGTTCTGCTAATTCAACGTTGTTTCCATCCAGTAAATTTGAACATGCGCAAAGTAAGAATATATTCAAAACTTGTTTTTTTTTAAACTAGAGAATTTGAATATTAACTCTTTTAAAACTCAATTTACTTGTAGACTAAAATTATATATTTGATGAAAAGTATTTAACAGACAGAATGCGAACGCATTTATAAAGTATTTATATTTTGAATAAGGATTACTAGCACAATCGGTTTAGCCACGTCTGTCCGAATAAATACTGCAATCTCGTGAAAATTTCGTAGTCAAATTTGACAACTTCCTTAGGATTTTACCGTTTACCTACAACACGGCTAAAGGGCTTAATTTTCCTAAACTTTCGATATATTGATGATTAGGTAAGTAAGCTTCGGCGACCCAATGGATGCAGTCTAAAAAAAGTCCAAAATATCATTTATAACATCATTAAACACATCACCTCTATATCATAAATAACTTGCAAGAATGCTTACAGTGTAAGGCCAACTCCGCTAATATCCCAATGCATGCTTAATTAATTCTTACTTCAAGCTGTTATTTTCATTAGGTTAGGTCGGCTCGGTATGATGAATAATATCTATTTATATAACTATACTCTCTCTGCTCTCATATGCATTTCATGAGAGCGGCAAGGCGCAATATTCAGATCGAGTCCTGCTTAGAATATATTAAAATTAATTGTAAGGTCGGTAATGACTTCTTAAGCCAGTTTATTCATTTTTAACGTGTATAAGAGCTAAAGGGTATAATAAATCTTAACAACGGAGCAAATTCGTTAGTTCACTAAAAGCGTAAGTATTCCTAAATTATTATATGATAATAACATGCATTAGTTTTGTTACGTTATGTTCGATATGCAATGATAAATATAAAAGACATGCTTTCTTCCCTTATAAACAGACAATTTAATAAATAATTAAAAAATTAATAGAGATTAAAATTATATTTTTAAATTACCTTGTAAATTTTCTGAATTATTTTCTTAAAAGATTTCTTTTTAATTTGTTTAATTTTATTCTCGTATGCTTCTAAAATAACATACAAATACTCATGGAAAAAAAAATTCAAAAACCGACCAATCCACACCATATGGGTCATATAGTGCACGACAAGTCGTCTTCACTGGGGGAACCATTGACGGAACCTGGCGAATATGAGAATCTACCGTTTCATGGTCTGCAAACAGCACCTAACAAGGTATAGTTTTTACTTTTCATAACACTCATTACATAAAAATATATAGCTTACTACATTACCTAAAGCAACTGAAATTACTAATATACAATATGTTCTATATCATGCATTGCAATAATGACGTAAATGTTTAGAAAAGCGTTTATTGATTTGCAGATTATCCAATTCGAAATTTCATAAAAATATAACAAGCTAATTTAAATAAAATAAGTGTTGCCGCCAAAAAATTAAATTTAAAGTTTACGTTTATAAACATTTGTTTTTTAGGTTTGTTTATTAATTTTAAATATTTATACATTTAAATATTTGTTTAAAATTGTGAATAAGTTAGTATGTACAAAATTGTTGGATAAGTTTAATGAATACACTATCATTTTTTATACACAAAATATTTTGTAGTTCTCTAACCTTAAAATCTTTTTTGTGTTCGCTAGTGAACGCTTTAAAACTAACAAAATGAAGAAATATCAATAAATTTATTCATAGTGTATGAAAAATATCAAACTAATGTCAAAAAACTAACAGCTAAACTAATACACTATTTTCTGTTACCATTGTTTTCTTTGCGTGCCCTTCCTAACTAACATATGATGCTTATGGATTCAGTATTCTACCATCCGTATTAATTTTAATAATAACAAAAATGCGGAGCCTATGGTTCAACAACCCAAGAAACTCAATGAGAATATCAACCAGACATGGATCAACCATAAGCATGATCGTCAGACCATTCCAGATCAACATACATACCAGCAAGGAAATATTAACGAACAGGAACTACAATATGTTCATAGATCACAGTACAACACCACGCACCGCCAACTAATTACCGATCTACATAATCAAAGGTTGACTGAACTAGTTACCGATCGTCCAGTTCAACAAAGCACGAGCAGTTGCTTTCCCAATAGTTACACTGAATATTACCGACAACACCAGGAACAAAAAATACAAATACAAATGCGAGGAGAAGAACATCAGTTGATGGATGTGAATTCATTGTCCAACTCACAGCTATTAAATGCTTTAGAGAATGATTGCATATCAACTAATACCGCGATAGATCGACCAGAACGTTCAGCACTGCTTAACACTAACCCCTTTCTGGCTGCCACAAACTTTAATAAACTTTGTGATGAAGTACCTGAAAGTATTATATCCGCAAATCACAGCAACAGCGCATTACACTTAGAGGACAAATTTAATTCGCTTAGGTTTCCAAATGGAAACAAGTTTAAAAATCGGACCCACATTGAAAATTCCTTGTTAGGATCTACCACATCACAATCCCCTTCCGCTATTGATATGTCCTATTTATCCACATGTAAAAGGCATAATTCTTTTGCTTACATTGATCCAAATCAGCAGTCCACTCACTTTCATGATTCACCAAATTACGAGAATATGGTAGATGAAAATACAGACGATCAAAGTAAGCAAACAAAAAAAAACGAAAGCAATCAAAACCTCACTACCATTCTGCTGCACACTCACCCTGCAACAGATAAATTTAAAAAACATTACCGTAGTCAACACATCAAACAGCAAAAAAATGATGAAGGAATTGGTCCGGATTTCCAGTTGATAGAGCCTGAGCGCATCACAATTTATCGAAGCGACTCCGGAATATCCAACAGCTCTTACGAGTCTCAATTTCCTCCTTTATCGCAAAAGCGATCACAAAAAAAAAAAAGAGATATTGTTAACTCATTCTCTGGGCCATCAGTTCGAAAACATATCTACAAAAAAAATATAGGAGCTCAGAATAGTGCAATGATCCACGATGATTCCACGAATGGTGATAAGAGCGGAGAACCTATAGGTAATGTTTCTATATCGCTCTCGTATAAGCCATCAATTCAGTACATCGACAAGACTAATCAAGAAGACTTAAGGCAACAACAGCTTGGCCACCATGGTGCGATTTCGACCTCAATGCATTCAATTTGCAAAAGCTTGAAGGTCACTAAGGTTAAAACATCGATTGAGGTTGGTATTGATAAAATCGAATGGTGGTTTTTAATTTATATTGAACTTTTTTTAAACTTGGTGTACAATAATATGTTTTTGAATTATATATTATATATAAAGAAGCGTTTCGTATGTTATTTTTATTTTTTAATCAGTACAAACTTCAATGCTGGCTTTGCATTTTCCTTTTGTATTGTTTTTACAAAGTTACAAAAAAAATTTCCAAAACCATACAATTTACTAGTTGGGGTTATAAAAACAAAATTTTGTGACTTCCCTTCGCTAAAAAGTAATATTTTTATGACAATTAAGCTCCTCTTTGATTGATTTTTTTGTCTTTAATTTATAATTTCAAAAGATTTCATGATTTTCGGAAAATTGCAAGCATGATATAATACTTATACCCGTTACTCGTAGAGTAAAAGGGTATATTAGATTCGTTGAAAAGCATGTAACTATAACGAGCTATGCGATTTACAGAGTTGAGATTAGGCAGGCAGATTCTCGAGGTCCATACGCAGCGCAGCATCCTGCCACGCCCACTATAACGCCCACATGCCGTGGAAAACTGTGGCGTCTATAACATTATTATGTATGTCTTCTTTTGACCTTGTATATTATTTTTGTCAATATGTATAGTTTTACCAAAGATTTTGCAAATCGGAACATTATTTTGCTATTTATGAAGAAATGTAGGTTAGAAGTGGTCACATGGACAGTGACATCACTATCAGTTACTCAACATGCTTTCTCTGACAATAGGTGGCGCTTTGTAATTTCCACTAAGAAAATGAACATTTTAAAATTGTTTAAGACCGTAACGGGTATTTTATAGTCGCGACACTCGACTTTAGGGTTTCTTCTTGTTTTTTATATGACTAGTAAAGTATAAGGATATAAGGTCTTGGAGGGAATAATAATTTAAACTCATATTATTTGTTCAAGTTTTTATATAGGGAGTAGACTATAAGGTTGTAACGTTTTGGTCGGAAAGTATGAAATACATAGGTATATAGCTAATAACCGCGTCGATTTAGTCATGTCTGTTTGTCCGCCTGACTCTATTCCCTTTAGAACAGGGGTGCTCAACACCAAGGCACTGAGTGCTCATTTGTATTTGTAAATGCTCGGAGCATATGGGCTTGCTCGCTCATAAGATTTGAGCTCTCGCGACTATATTACACTAAACATTTTGCGTGTTCCTCTTTCCGCCACATTTCGTAGACAAACGCAATATAATTTGTTGTTGTTTCTTTCTGGAACATCTTCGAACACTTGCAATGGAATTCATACTTTGTAACTGCTGTGGGCAATTTAGAGTTTAATTCGAATTTGACGAGACAGTAAAATGAGTGATGAATTGATTATCAAAAAATATTCTTCGTCCTCTCAGTGCCCAGCTGCAAGCCAACACAAATGTAAATGTAAATGCTTTCCCGGAAGCCGATACTGAACACCTTTATAACATCGATAGCTTTTAGAGATAGAAATTTCAGATAAATCAAAAAATCCAAATATTTTTTTTCCCAATTTCTGTTTGTTTGTGTGCTTGATATGTTGGGAAAATGTATGGCCAATCTGGCTTAGTTTTTAAACTTAATCTGCATTTAGTTAGTTATTGAATAATCGCGCAATGGTTATAAAAAAGTTATTAAAGCAATTATAATTAATTTCAAGTCATATTTTTTACTTTATTTACTTACATGATTTTTTTACACTTGGGACTTACATGTCAACAATATAATTACAACGCTTTTCAACGTAACCCTTTTGATGCATGATTATTAACCACATAATGAATAAACTAACGACAGAAAACCCAATCGCTGGCTGTTAATACATTTCTAGCAACAAATGGAAAAAGTAACGCTTTATCCGGTAATAAAAAGAAAAAGAAACTGCGCCGTCAAACCATTAGCTCTCCATACGAACAAATCCAAAGACATCCATATGCCAGAAGAGTCAAAAATTGTGACGTCTCCAGAGAAATCCTAGGCTATAGTTCAGAAGTACACAGTTCTGCCCAAAAATTTGACTCGCGTGATCTACAAATAGCTTCGGCAAATGATTTATTAATTCGACCTATACGTCTGCCATTGCGTAAACATCACTCATTCAATTATCAAAGCACTCAGACAGCAAACGGCAAGTTACAACAGCTGCGTATGCAACTGCACCTTCAACTGCAAGAAAGGAAAGAGTTTAAGGAGGAAGGGACTCCTTTGGTTTTGCAGCTAAGTGAACGACATGCATTTAAGCCCATTTCACCTACACCTATAATGACAAAATCAGAAGAGCAGCAGACCAGGGATCATAGTCAAACTGGCCTTTTTTCGCAATATAGTTGCAGACACAATTTAAAGGCGGCAGAAGATGATGAAGATCCTGGGTACAGTTTCTTTGAGGAAGATAACATAGTAGACAATGGTAACTATCCCACCTCGGACAATCTTCATACTGCCCCGGCCAACAGCTCCAGTACATGGAATGCTATTGAAAACAGAACTGCGGGGGATTCTTAAGTACTAAATGTCGCACAACAGCTGCGAAGTACCCAATTAAATATACAGTATTATAGAAAAAGAATCCAAGAGTCAAGCATTTATAAAATAAATTGCTTAAGAAAAGTATCGTTTAAATACTGAAGCTAGTTTAATATTGTCAAAATAACAACACTAATAAAATAAAGAATATTCATGCATAAAATTTTTTATTTTACACAGTTTTGGTCAAGTGCCGTGACCTTGAAATACCCATTACTCTATTTACCAATTTAAAAATAATGATGCCAGGCCGTATAACCTTATTTAATAATTGTAAAAAAAAATATTTTACCAATTTTGGTATAAGGAATAGTTAAAAATGATACAATAGAAGAAAAGCTTTCCGACTCAAACGAGTCGGTTTAGTCCTGTCCATCAGACATTTTGTCCGTCTGTCTGTATAGATGATCTAAGATCTACTGAGTCTTGGAATTATTAGAAATATAATGTTGAGATTACCCTTACACAATCTAGAGATCACAAGGATATCATTTTTACGAGATTCTAACAAGAGAAATTATTGTCGGCATCAATTTAAACTTTGAACTTTGAAAATGGTTTTAAACGTAACATATATCTTATAGCTGCGGCTCTCGGCTATAGCGTTCTTTCTTGTTTTATTTTGCTTAAAGAAGTATGGGGTTTCAGGTAATACAGTCAAAAATAGTTAAACATTTTTTCTAAACATTTTACTGAAGATTTATTGTTGATAAACATGTTTGGAACATTTTATATTAATAAAACTGTAATATTGATGACCCTATGTTGTTGGTGAGAGAAAGGTGCTAGCACTTTTAATTTTTAAAAAAATTTTTTATTTAATGATACTAATGTTATATGAAGGTAATTGTGTAAAATTTTTAAGACTTATTTCTACCATGACTATCTGAGCATCCATTTCACCATCGAAAGTTACTAGTTTTTAAAATTAAAGCTTCAATTTACACATTTGTGTTATACTTCTTCTTTTATACCTTAAACAAATATTGTACTGCACGTTATTTAACTATAAATAATACCTTTACTTTAAAAAAACCTTTACTTCCAAGCATTTTTTTCACAAAAAGAAATTTTTGTTTGTCAATTTTTTAGTTCGGTTTCTAAATATCAAAGAAGAGTCCAGTGTTCGTACTTAATTTATCATTAATGCCAATGTGTGGTGGGGCATGTTTAATAAAATTTAATTTTTAATTAGAAAATTAAAAAAAATGCAAGTAATGAATTTATATTTGTATAAGATTATGCAGTTCGCATCATATATATGTAATTACTCAGTCTATAAGCATAATTTAAAAGTTATACAAAAATAGTCTCTGCGATTGTTATCCAAAAAATATGTAAGCGTATATGATTACAAATAAGACAGTAGGTATAAAAGTCAAACACTGTTAATTAGTTATTAGTGCTTATTAGTGCAACTATTGAATATTTTAAACATAACATGTAATATGGAATGCTACCCAATATATATTATTTTGATATTAAAAGTAAAAAGGAGCATAACCATTTAAAAATTATTTTGGCGGCACACTTCTTAAGACTTATATTAATAAAGGTAATAATCACATAAGACACTAAATTTACTGAAATTCCCATCAAAGTATTTAGATAATCTAAATTAAATGAATTGTAATTTTTTAGCTTCTTTCTGACTTTGAGGATCCTTACAAATGCAGCAATACCTATATATTCTAAGTTTTAATTTGATTAAGTGTCCCATAACAAAGAGATAATGTTTATTGTCCTACTAGAAAGAAGGTAAATTTGCTTTTTTTAGACTTATTGTTTTAAATACTTAATATTTACCATGATTTATCGCTAAAAATATATTAAAAACTTTTATAAAAGCAAAAAATTCTCGCTATTTTCCATATACTTGCCATGTTTAAATAAAATATTCATTTGCATGAAAAAGCTATACATTGTAAAAGTAAAAGCATTAAAAATAACTTCTTAAAACCATCTAATATATCGAATTTCGCTTCTCCATACAATAGCCATTAAATCCCGAAAGATTCGATGATGAATTCATTTATGCTGATCTCGAAAGTCAACATTACGGACCGATCAATTACAAGGCAGCTTCATTATATTCCCGAGTAAAAAAAAATCAAAAGTCGGGTGCTCTTAATGAACTAAAATAAAACTGTATACCACTTAACTCACACAGTGCATTTTCAATGTAAATATATGGTTTATAATTAAAAAATTGATATAAGAACATTAAAAAAAGTTTTTTAATAAAGTAGAAAGGATTAATAAATTAAATCTGTTAAAAATAATAGTATATGCACCACTGTATATCTTATACTTCTTTGGTTTTGGATGTTCACGGACATCGATGTTTTTGATGTTTTAAACAAAATATAAGCCGTTTTTTTAATTGAAGTTGAAAGTTTATTTTAATTTGTAATGTTTAAAAATAAAGTTATATTTTTCAACAAAAAATTAACCATTTTATTATTTAATTTTCAAATTAAAGCGAAAGAAAAAACAATTTAAAATAAATTGGTTCTTTATATACATAGTAAACTTCTATAGTATATTGTACCATCCTTATTTTTGTAGATAAAAACAAAAAGCAAAAACAAAACAAAATCATTGTTTATTATATACATGGTTCAAAGAAAATAACAATTCTTTAGGATATTGTACTATCCCTACTATACTATCCTTACTTTACTATCCCTAGCTCATTATTTACATGTTTGTTTTTGCTTAAAAAGACAACTCGACAACGGACAACGGCCGCGTTCGACGATCACTCAAAGTTGTCCAGCCTTGCTGAAGGCTCTTTTAGACTCACTCAAAGATGACCCAGAAGTTTTTTTTAGCTAATGTTTTAAAAGCATCGCCATTAAATAAGTGATATATGTACTTAAAATTCGTCAATCTTCCTTAATGTGCCCTAGAAATGGAAAAACATTGATGTTGCCCCGGTAAACATCGATGTTGCTGATGTTTTGATAACATCGATGTTGCCGATGTTTCGAAAACATCGTTATCATCGACGGCCACCAAGCTATAAACTTGCGCGTAATAATCGAAAAGAATAAATATTTAGAGATTCGGTGGTGTTTCAATAAAATGAACAAAATGAGTTTACAATACTCAACAGAAAAACTAGATAGTGAAATTTATAGTTCATGGGCAGTGCAGATGAAACGTTTGCTAGTACACTTGGAACTTTGGTCAGTTGTGTGCAGTCGTGAAATTAAAAACGAAAGTGGAACCGTAGAAAAACAGACAAACTTTGATATAAAAATTGAAAAGGCCCTCGCGAGTATTTTGTTGTGTATTAAGCCGTCGCAGATTAACTCAAGAAAATCGGCGGAAGTCTTAGCATAATTGTTGTATATGTTGATGATCTAATTATTGCTTGTAACACAAAAGAAGACCTGATCAACGTTAAACTTCACACCACACAGGAATTTGATATAGTAGATGGCGGAGATCTGAACCATTTCTTGGGCATGGAAATCTAACGGAATAGAGAGAAGGGCAGCGTGACGATTGGTCATAAGCAGTATATCGACGGGCTGTTACAAGAATATGGAATAGAAGACTGTAATCCGAATGCCACACCTTAAGAGGTTAGTTATCAGAGCCTGTGTACTGTGGATGACTGCCCGAGAGCTAACCAAAAGCAGTATTAATCACTTGTTGATTGCTGTACTTAGCGATGACCTCAAGACCAGACGTTATACATTCCGTGGCAAAGTTGGCACAGAGGTGCAGTGACCCCCATAAGAAACATGAGTCCTTCGCTTCCTAATAGGAACAGCATTGACCGCAAATCACTGGGTTTTAAGACGGCGTCAACATTGATGATCTACAGTGACAATCAGAGCGCTCAATGTCTAGCTAAGAATGCTACTTTTCATGCTCGAAGTAAACACATAGATATTAAGTATCACTTTATAAGAGATTTATATAAGAAAGAAGAAAGTCATTGAAATTGAATATGAATCAACCGAATACCTGATTTCAGATATGTTAGATAAGGATTTAACTAAAGTTAAGCACATAAAATGTGTAAGTTCGCTAGGGCTAAGCTGAAAAAGAAACACAACTAATTAGTAAGAACAGAGCTAAATCTGAATGAATTGAATTAAGTACCAAGTGTTTTCTGTAATAAGAAGGAGCGGTAAGAAGGAGTGTTGAAAATATTAGTAAAGGATATGTATTTAAACCTTTTCACCTACACCAATGATGTCAAAATCAAAAGAGAAACAGACCAGAGATCAGAATTAAACTGGCTTGCTTTCGCAACATACTTGCATACATAATTTGAAGGCGGCAGAAGATGATGAAGATCCTGGGTACAGTTTCTTCGACGAAGATTACATAGTAGACAATGGTAACTATCCCACCTCGGACAATCTTCATACTACCCCGGCGAACAGCACTAGAATATAGAATGTTATTAAAAACACAACTGCGGGAGATTCTTAAGTACTAAATGTTGCGTAATAGTTGCGAAGTACCTATTTAGATATACAGTATTATCGAAAAAGAAACCAAGAGTCAAGTATTTAAAAAATGAATTCCTTAAGAAAAGTAACGTTTAAATACTGAAACTAGTGTAATATTGTCAAAATAACATAACTAATAAAATAAAGAATAATTATACATAATATGATTTATTTTACACAGTTTTCGTCAAGTGACGTGACTTTGAAATACCCATTACTCTATTTACCAATTTAAAAACAACCGTTACTGTTTTACACAATTTTAAAATATTAATTTTGCTAGTGGAAATTCACAAGTCAGAGGAAGCATGTTGAGTAATTGATAGTTACGTCACTGCCCATGTGAGTCCTTATAACCTAAATTTCTTCCTAAATAGCGAAATAAGGTTCCGATTTAAAAAATCTTTGGTAAATCGATAGATATTAACAGAATTAAGTTATACAAGGTCAAACGAAGGAATTCATAAGAATATTTTTTTTTTTTTTCGCGCGACTCCCGTTGCTTGATGTGCAACCCACCTTCCGCCCAACCGACCGAAGGGCGCTGCCGTCTGACGTACGGCTCGGAACACAGGAATAGATCCGAGTGGATTAGGAAAGATACGAGGAAAGTTAGTTTTGTGCTAAATGGATTAGTATCGAAACTTTCAAAGTGTTAGGAGAAGAGTTAGAAGTAATTTTATAAAGATCATTGTAGTGTGAACATAGTACCCGAAATGGTTCATGTTGGGCAAAGTTCGAACTACAATGCTCTAAGGATAGAGGAATCTAGTTTCTAGTAATCCTAAGGGGTACATGGATATTCAAGCGGCCTAGAAGGGCCTGGCTATCAATTTCACACTTAAGAAGATTATGGATAAAGACGACACCAAGCATCGTCCTATGATTAGCGAGGGATGGCAAATTAATTAGTAAGAGTCTACTTTTACAAAAGGGAAGGTGTAAGTTTGCATCCCAGTTGAGACCGCGGAGAGGAAATATTAAAAAATTCTTTTGGATGGATTCAATAAGGCACTGGTGATACCCATTCTGGGGGTCCCAGATACATGATCCATATTCCAGAATCGGACGAACTAAAGAAATAAAAAGTGTTTTTGTAAGAAATAAAAAGTGTTTTGTAAAAGTGTTTTGTAAAGTGTCGTTAAATTCCGTCGACCACCTTTTAATGAAAGCAAGCACTCCTCTAGCTTTATTAAACATAGAGGAAATATGGTCGGAAAACTTAAGTTTTGCATCGAGTAAGATGCCAAGATCTTCAACTGCATTAATTCTTTCCAGAGCTACACCATGCAGAGTATAAGTGGCAACTTTAGGTCTTAGGCAACAGAAGGTCATTGCTTTGCACTTAGAGCCATTAAGATTTAGTAAGTTTGCAGAGCATCAGTTTTGAAAATTATTAAGGTCAGATTGCAGTTTCACCTGGTAGGAGGCATCAGTATATTGCAGACAGAGTTTGACAGCATCTGCATACATAAGTACTAGGGAGTCATTAATAACCAAGGGAAGGTCGTTAATGAATAAGGTAAAAAGTAACGGACCAAGGTGTCCAGAAGATTGGTAGTGGTAGACCGTTGTTTCATAAAGCCATGCTGACATGGAGATATGACAGATCTACACTGGTGCTGCAAGTGAGGCACAATAATTTTTTCGAAAAGTTTCGGAATGGCTGATAGTTTAGATATACCTCTGTAATTTTCAGCATCCGATTTTTTTCCCTTCTTGTGAAGGGGAATGATAAGGGACTCTTTTCAGATAGCGGGAAACGTGGACGTTTCCAGGGAAAGGTTAAATAATTTTAAAAGGGGTTTGGCCAGGGTAGCAGAGCAGTACCTAATCACACAGCCCGGTACCCCGTCTGGACCTGGCGAAAAGACTGGCTTCACATTCTGAAGATCCTTTATAACCCCACATTCCGACAAGGTGGGTCGGGAAATAAAGTTAGACTGGGGGATATCGTAAGCGTAAGTCTGCGCGTTTATTAACAAAGGTGAATAGGTAGTTTGAAAAAACTGTGCAAAAAGATCGGCAATTTCCTGATCCATGCTTGCAGTAGATTTTCCAAACGATAGCAAAGATTTTTAGATATATGGCGTCCGTATCAGAGAGAAAGCACAGATCGAGCAAATGACCTAAAGAATTCCCTATATGATTCATTTGAGCCAGTGACATGTCTAACATGCCAGCAGTAAAGTCGTGATGCGACATAGGTGTTAAAGCTAAGGTGTTATCGTTCATGGACCAAGCCACCTGGGGTAGGTTGAAATCACCCAACACCACCAGCTGATTCATGTCCGATAACATTGAGAAGACAGACTGAATGGCTGCTAGGTGCCTCTCATATGTCAAGGAATCGGACTTAGGCGGAATATAAGAGCAAGTGATACGAGTATATAAATTTAACCTAGACAATGAGATTTTAACTGTGATAAATTCTAAGTCTCCAGTTTGAAGATTTATCATCTCGGAAACGAGATTAGAGTCCACGGAAATTAGGACTCCACCACCATTTCCGAGGGATCGGTCAAGCCTATATATTGTGTACCTACTGGGGAAAACTTCAGAATTAAGAATTTCTGGAGTTAGCCAGGTTTCCGTAAACACAATGACCTGTTATGCAAACAAGAAGCTTACCGAGAACAAGTTAGAATGTTTAGAGCGTAAGCCTCTTGTGTTCTGGTACGAAAGA